TACTATCACTACTACTACTACTACTACTATCACTACTACTACTACTACTATCACTACTACTACTACTACTACTACTACTACTACTACTACTACTACTACCATTAATAATAACAATAATATTAAAAGGACTAACAGCTGAATTCCTGTTCTATTGAATATACGGTAATAGAGTTCATTTTCTGACAGAAGGCTGTACCGATCAAAAGGACAACTTGGAAACATTCTAAAGTGAGACAAGTCATAAATCCATAATTTTCATCGGACAGTTTGCATGTTTTGCAGAAAACTCTGTTTGAACAAATAATAAATATTAAAAATGAACAATAGCCCTTGATCTAACAGTATTATATGCGTTAAAAAACAAGGTCGTTTTCTTCTATTCTTCTCGAATTCACATTTCCCTCATATCCAGCATGTATCGTACGGCGTTGATGGAATAACTCAGAAGATCAATCGCGTAATCTAACGAAAGGGCATTATTCCTTCCCATACGATTCATACGAATCCACCTGTTGTGAGCATCAACCGCGTGGAGTAAAAATCCCCACCATGCTGTGATTCGAGCCTCGAGAACACTAACCACTGATTATCCCGAAGCATGTTCAAGCAACAACAAGAACAGGTCCATTCGTAGCGGAGGGTAGTCTTTCATCTTTCAGTAGTCTATGGAATGCAGTCATTGATAACAGCAATAATCACCACGCATTTTACTTTTCGTTCCACTGATTAAGTAGGCACGATAATTGTACTGCACAGAAAGTGAACATGCGGTATTTTTGTGATGTGCAGGGCGCGAAAAAAACACGATCACGTTCGCTATTTACGCCAATACAAGAGGTCATTAAAGATCGGATAGTGTTTCAGAAACTCAGCCTCGTTCCTATTGTTCACTTATTCGTGGGTGATAAAAAAGTGCGTTTAGCCTTTGAAATTTAATGATTCGTCCGTAAACATCATTGTTTTACACTTACAAATTGTTTAACGTGTGACAAAACAGTGTACTTGAACGGGACCTTAGATTCGCGTTTATAAACTCCATCTCTAACGATTCTTTCCTCGTGCTGATAAGTACTATTGAATATTGTGCACGTTTAACGTACACAGCCGTGGTTCGAATTTCAAAACGTGCCGTGATAATGATATATCCGCACCTTCAGATGAACAGTGAAAAGAATTGACTAGCGGTCCATCCGTTCGTTCGGAAGGGCCGGAGGTGCATGAGCCCAGAGTTAAGATCATGCGTGCTGTTCAACTGGCTGGTCACGTGACGCGTAATCAATCTGGCAAAAGGTCACGCTGGCACGGTGGTAAACATCATAAGGTGACTTCGTCCGTTGGCCGATCATGAGGAGAACTCAGTTGATGCTATCTTTCATGCAGATTACTTATCGATCGAATTGATGGATTGGATGCCGAGATGATAGGTGAAAGGTAATGTCGATATACTCCGCAAGACGTGCCATTTCACTTGTAGCGTTGTGCGTGCAAAAAGCACTCAACTGACAGCTAATAGTAGTAATAGATGAGTGAGTTTTTTCACATTTTTCCGGAAATCCTGATCATTATCTTCTTATCTACTGATATATCAATCGGTGATTTAAGGTATACGGAATTGATGAAATAGTTTTACGATCATGTTCTCAACGTTGTTTATAATATAATATCCTATGCAAGGTGTTTTTGTATCAAAGTAAGATGCTCGATGTCAAGTAAAGATTTTCATTAAGATGCCCTGTCAACAGGTCTACGATACCTTGTGGATTACAATGCCGAGCCTTTGGTACAATGGGCCTGTCAAACTGATGAAGTATGTCCATAACTCAGCTCTCTTTCGTCCTTTCTCACACGCAAAATGACTACACTCGCTTGTTATGCACGGTAAAAAGCTATCAGTTGTACACTTGAGGATGTTGTGCATAGCCCGGAGATTGGTGATACAACTGCCAGTTGATCAAGTCGCTCGCTCCAAAGGCTCACCGTTGTAAGCCTTGAATTGGTACTATAACACCTTAAACTGAAGAAGGCACAGTTACTGATAACTTCCTAAACTGATCGATTCAATTCGTGTTCGGAATGGTGGGACAACTTTTCACCTTGTTATGAAGGTTTAGGATATTACTATTTTACAACCAGAGCTAGTATTTTTTAGCTTTTCCAGCATGAAAATGTTCCTTCTGTCACGGCCTATCAATCATATACTGCTTATCGGTAACACATTAAAATAGATTTGGTTTGTGGAGATTAGTAAAATCTGGACCACGAAATCAACATATATTCGTGATTACCATTCACGCATAAAATCTTAAGGAATGGAAAACATGTATAGCTCAATCACCATTAAGTCGAATATACCAGTTTAAGAATGACTTGGAAGCGGAGTGCCGGAAAGAATGCCCATGGATAGTGGCACCTGCTGTGAATGCACTCAAGTGCTTCCAAAACCTCTTGTCATTCATACGTTGATACTTGATCATCCCTTTTGTGAAGCCGGTCAAATGTGTGCCCTACTCATATTTTTCAAAATACTCCATAATTTGCACGTTCTTATTTATACTGCATGTTGTTGACCTTTACGCTATTCCCGGAGCTATGACTTGCTGTTTAGTTTATATATGAAAGTTTTCTGCATGCTGCATCAGACGAATTCTTCCATTTTTGCAATCGAGTCGAGTCCACACCGTCTTGATTGCACAAAGAATTCACTCTCAGTTGAGCTGCGTTCGAGAGCCAAGTGCAGTCTTTTCCCGAATACATTGAATCAAAAGCAGTCCGGTTCGCCACATGACATCATAGTTACTTCAATTATGGGCTTCATACAACGAGTTTAACACTAATCGTTCCTACAGCATCCGAGTGTCAAACAGGTCATTTTGTTTCAGTTGTTGCTTGTGAGAAACTACTACACCACTCTGACCAGAAGTGTATTTTTATTCTGAAATACTATCCATACAACGGCGTTACACTGTCCCTACTTTATGATTGAGATGGTAAACGATGAATGTATGAAGATATTCTACCCCGAGTTTCGACTAGGTTTAAAAGAACATTTTTTCTCATGATAAATAAAAGTAGAATTATCAATAATATCATAGAAAAATTAATGCAACACAGGATCAATATACCTTTGAAGACTTGTTCTGTGTGCTACTCTAGCCGACTCATTCATTAAGTTACGATAACCTTGGTTGAACGTTATCGTCCATCGTAGATACTGTAGCTGGGATGCAGTTGTACTTAATGAAAATTCTTTTCTTTCGGATAGGTGAACTAAGCTCCCTGAAACTCCCCGGGGTTACGACCCACCCAGTCTAAGGCCGTAGGCTTCCCGTATGGTTATTGAACTGTGTGAACTGAATCACACCACTTTCTGCATCTCTATATTACACAGCAGTGTGTGTGGACTAAAGTCGCATAGGCAAAATGGAATCCGCATATACCCAGTACGCCGAATAGACAGACGTCACTGCACCTCAGACATGAAATTATTAAAAATACAATGCTGAAGTTTAACCTTCTCCACAAAAGTGGTAGCAAGATTGATGTGTGGGATGTGGGACGAGTATCAGAACATTTCACATCTTTAGCCACAACTGGTGCATAACGATACTATCATGTGGTTCTCTGATATGAATTTACGTCCCATCATATAGCGATAGCAGCCGTTTGGGAGGAACTGTCAAGGTGTGTTTAGCTTCGTCCATTGTAAGGGCAGTGCAAGACACGCGCTGTGATTTGTGGCGACACGTAATTGTTGCGTATGTAAAACAGAAATAAAATGATCGCTACTGACATCTACGGGTGGTTTACGTTCTGTATTTGTGCTTGTATGTGTGTACGCCTGATTTTTATAATTCCGTGCCCTTCGAGACCCATGTGCGTACAGTCAAACCGGAAGGCGCCATCCAATAAACTCCGTCGACCTGTGTGTTGCCAAGATGGACTGATCATCTCTCGTAGAGCGGAGAGAAAGAAAACAGGCTGTCCACGCGACACAGGCGGTGAATGCTCTTGCACATACTCATACGTACGCACGCATACGGTGCACACACGGTGCGCTGTGGCAATCCTCACCGAACAGGTGCACGAGGGCTGCGGAAGCGGATGAGTGGTTAGGGGTAGGACCAGCACGTGTGTGCCTCGATTTCATCTGTCTGTCTAGCTATCTACACGACTGTGTATCGGTGAGCATGTGATTTGCGTGTGGGCTTGGCAACGCACATACACCAACACCAGTCAACTGGCCAGCCAGTTAACCAGACAGACAGAACGGCATACCCAGACGAATAGAGCCGGGTTCTCTAATTGGCCAGTAGGAGAGCCGGGGGTGGGGGTGGGCGGGGGGTGGGGGATAGAGCATGGGCAATAGCAGCAGCAACTACGACAATCCGAGAGGTAATAGCGAAAGAATCGGTGTGCGCACACGAAGGTATGTGCGTTTGCGGAAGAAAAGGTGACCAGATGGTAGTGGCGACAAAGGCACACCTTGGCTGGTATGAGCTCACCGATTGTCCTGTCCCTTCCTGTCCCGTCCCGTCTTATTTGTACCCCCTCGCCTGACCTGGTATCGGTATCGGTACCATGAGGGCTTGGGCAGACTAAGCAGGCGGTAGCCTTACGGCTTTTCCTCACCGGTTGGTTTATGCGAGTGCGCGCGCGAACGTGCACACATGCTCTTAACAGGACATTGTCCACGTGATAGGTGATCTTGCACATTTACGTGTGTGTGTGTGTGTGTGTGTGTGTGCGTGTGTGCGTGCGCATTTGAGCGTACGTGTATGCGAATAACGGATATGGCACTTATCCTCGTTGTCGTGGCTGCTGTTATTGCTACCTACCATGATTGTCGTCCTCACTAGTCATGGTGATTATACAGTTATAAAGTTCAGTGCATTGAATCTGTTATGCATCACTCCTACTCTGCCAGTTCCCTTCTAAAAAGTCGAAACCAGTCGAACAAAAGCGCTGAATATACTTCAATATAACATATCCATATCATGTTTTACGAGGAATCCTTATTCCCTTGTCATGTCAATTCACCACTCACTTTCCAATCACTACATTCATGTTCATTTCGTTCTTACGTTTCGCTAGATGCGATTCCATCGTCGTCTCCCCTACCGAACGAATCCCGACCGGGAACTCTATCCCAACCGGATTCATTTCCCGGAGAATTTCCTTCGCCAAATTCAGACCTTCGAAAAACACAGGAGGATGAGAACGACGGCGAGGGTGAACATATTTACAGACAGCTAGCCCAGTCCCATTCCAACAAACATCCACTTCAAAATAATGAACAAATTTTACTGATGAATGACCTAACCAATATCGGATCCCCCACTGGAACAACCAAATTCGCCCACTGCGCCACCAGTGCTACATCACCTCGAGCTGTTCCCACGTGCGATCAATGCGGAAAACAGTTCGCGAACGTCTACCGCCTGCATCGTCATTTGCTCAGTCACACAGAGAGTTATGAACTGCGCAAGTTTCGCTGTTCTCAGTGTAACAAAGCATTTAAGTTCAAGCACCACCTGAAAGAACATGAACGTATCCACAGTGGCGAGAAACCTTTTGTGTGCCGTCAGTGTGGCAAACGTTTCAGTCATTCGGGTTCATACTCAAGTCATATGTCCAGCAAAAAGTGTAGCAGTTTTCTCAGCAGCGATGAGATCAGCTCCGTGGGCAGTAGTAATGTGACAAGCTCGCAAACTCTACCGTATCCCAAGGCGTGTGACCAAAAGACTGCATGTGACCTCAGTTCAGTGAGTATGATAATCGAAACACTCAAAGCTGCTCAAGGTCAGTATTCAAATCTGTCCAACGGGATTCACAATTCGGTTGATACATCAAATATCTGGGCTCCCTCAACAGCAAACGGGATTATGGACACGGATTTTGATCAGCGTTGTTTTCCATTTTTTCCCAATCTACGACCAGAGCAAGAGTCCTTACTGAGAACTGCCTACCGTTATTCCAGTCTTCCTTCGAGTCAAGAAATACAACGTTTAAGTTTACTCCTGGGGCTCGTGCAACCTTCAGAGGTGCTGTGGTCTAATCAAACCACCAAATCGAATGAATCTGACGCATCATTCAAACAGTCCGATTCACGTAACGCAAATACGGACCCCATTCCAGAGACATCACTCACAGATGCTTGTGTAGACTGCACCTGGGTATCAACGGGTCAACAAGCGCTCCGGAGTGAGCCCAAAATTAATTCACAACCTACCTCGAATTTTTCCCCCTCCTCCGAAAGCTCATTCATAAACATTCAACCGGATAATATGCCGTGCTATTCTATTCATGAGCCAAACAAACTTACTTCAGAGTTAAATCCATGTGAACAAGATACTGCTTTGGATCTTTCCCTGCCGCGTTTTACGGAAAGCGCTGAACATCAATGTGACCGGAAATCTTGGTCTACCCAAGCCGATAGTCACATGACCAACTCGGACCCAAGTTCTTGTGCACAGTCTTATTGGCCAGCCATGGTTTTAGCCGCTGCTGCGGCTGCGGCAGCAGCTGGTATAGTGCCCGAGGTGGAGCGCTGGAATGAAGCTGCTTCTGCAGCCACATCAGCGATGATAGTTCCAAACGTTACTTTGTGCAACGGAATTTCTCGTTGTTCAGACGGCTTGATGTCCAACTCCGCCAAAGAATTTGTCCAGCCGTTTCCAAATTCTGCGATAGCGAAGCCGGATCAACCATTGCTAACCTCGGGGCACTCAGATATGAAGGTGAGTATTCCACCTAATAGTGACGATACCTTTGCTGAGATTATGAATCTAGTTTTATTTATAAGGGTTTATCATACATTTTTCATTCATGCTGTGCATCACAAATATTTCGAACCAGGTCGCAGCTAAAGTCATGTACCTGACAATAACTCACTCGCATTGAGTCGCGCACCATTAGCCAACGTTTCCGACGACCTTGCGATTAGGGATCAGCCAAATGTTTTATCTGTTTTGTACTTTCTTCATGAATGTCTTAATAATCGATTCCGCAGAACAATTGCTTACTAACTCGTATACTCTTTCTGATCGCGAGTAATCAGACCAAGAGGTTTTCCGATTTAATGCCTTTTTCCAGTTATCTTCAGTACTTTGGACATTAATATATTGACGCAATGAAGTCAGCGATCTGGGCACAATCACAAATTGCGGAGCAGCAGAGTCAAATGGCTTAACAGAACCGAGCCGTCAATTCAGCGAATATTTTTTCTCATTTATGGTTGTCCACTCTGCAACAAGTGGATATCCAGATATCACACTGATGTATATTTTCGCATGAGAACCGAATACCCAAATTAGAGGCCTGAAACTACAGATGGTCGAAAGGCAGAATTGTTAGTTATGGCCCACTTTGTTGTCATCCAGAGGCATCAGGTTGTATTGTGTATGAAATATGGCAAGCGAAACGAATTATTCATCATTTATAAAATCTGATTGGATGCTATACCACGACGATCAAATCCGGCAAGAATTAAAACAGCAGGATATTCACGTTTATTCATTGCAATTATTATTCAATTGTGTTTACCCGATAGCGGTCGAATCAGCGTTATTGAGTACATATACAAAAGCAATCAGTGTTGGTTCTCGTTTAATTTCTAAAATCTTTCAGAGGTTCCTTACCATCCACTTGCCTGTTTTAGTTGATAAAGCAGTTAGTAAAGGAGCCAATGAATATTGAATTATCTGTCAGTCTTGATTTTATTTGTGATTAAAGCTGTTGTGTAACGAACCGCTAAGATACAATGAACAGCTGTTTCGCTTTCTTATCATAAATCATCACCGATGTGCACTTTTCGTCACCCTTCAAGGATTGGAACCGAGAACTTTAGAAGTGAGGGCCAAAGCCTTCTCTCATGCTTGAGCGAAGCGGGTCAATGGCCCAAGCTTTGAGTTCATGCAGGGCTCCGTGATTTGAGTAGAAACGCACTCGTTTTGTTCACGCGCGACCACAGATATCTGAGTTTAGGTGTTTCATATTAAACATATTCTGGTATCTATCGATTCTCATAGAATAAACAAGACAATGCTTAATTTATTCTTCATTTTCCAATGACATATATTCCCTCCTGAAAACCACCGCAGGATAATGAGTGTTTTCGTAAAATCACAAGAAAATTGCCCGTGTCTCTTAAGTCATCTTATTCTATAGAACAATTCTAACTTACTTTTTCCGTGATGATAGGTTATTAGACTTGATATATGGGTGAAAACAGACTGAAGTGATCCAATACTATCATCGTTTATTCGACAGAATAAAGCTTACCAATTTTTGATATTGGCATATTATGGATGAGTTGCCATGTGACTATTAAGCGTTTGTCACCAGTAAACGTAAAAAGTCATAACACGGCTCACCATTCATTTCGAATGTCACAAAAGTCTCATACAAACTGATAATTAGGCGCAAATTCTATGACTACTAAGTTCCATGCTAAACTTAAAAGGGCTTATGTGGTCCACCCTTTCACTCCCCGACTCGGCAGTTCCATTTTAGGCCCATCAGACCTTGGGTTTCATCCCTTCTATTTCCTCTTACATACAATAAAATAACCTCATGAATCAAGTGAAAAGACTGGGCGCAAAGTAAAGGAGAACGCTAGTCGGAAGACGGATGCTGAGTTGTTGATTTTTCATGTCAATGGGTTTCAAGGGTATGTAATATCGCTATTCTTGATCCAATCACTGACCTTTTGAATCTCGAGTAACAGCTCTAAAAAAGAGGATCAAGGCTGTTTGGAGCTTCGTGATCCACGACTAACTGGCTATCTGATGCCATTTGCGGTTGATNNNGTTGATCAATGTTGCTACATTCTTTGTCTGAATATTGACACATACGTAACCGAATGAATGTCCACCTGAAATGGGCCACCATCGTTGCGTTTCATTCACTTTCTCAATCTAAAGTTAATATCACACAAGGAAGGCGTATATTACAAACTTGGAGGGAAGTACAAACTCATTCATTCTTTTGAACCAAACTCCAATCAGCAACAAATTTATTAAACATCTTGGGCCTTGAATGTTGAACAGTTTCTTTTTTTCTGCCCCAGATAGTCAGTAGACCTGACCGATCTGCCTTAGCGACATGTCCTGCCTGTAAGATTGTTTGTTCACTGAGATTATTACCTCTAGCCTTGGATCGTGTATTCAAGTCCGTAAGCGTAGAACACAAAGTTGACCTGCGTAGCGTGGATTCATTAGACAATCATCAAGAATTCCTCAGTAGTCAGTCCCTCGTTGGTGGAATAACTTAAAACCCAAATTCTGTAATTACATTATTTGATACTGGATGGATGCATTATAAATTTCTTCTGACCCCTTCGAGTAGTAAGAGTTAAATGATGAGAAAGTGATGCATCATGCAGTCTCAACGTATCACGCAAAGCAATACTTGTCCACCGATCATATCATGACTCAAAGTCGGAAGTGCAAAGTTTCGAGTCTCATATGTACGCATCAGACTACCCTGTTTTAAAGAGTACCCATTTGACACTGCTATTTATTATGGTCTCTTATTGACAGAGGTTAACTTCATCTTCTCAGTTTTGGATCTCTATTACTGACGACGCTATCAAGGTTTATCTTTCTATTACGCACCATTTTCGTGTGATCAACAAATGGACGGGGTCAAACTTTAGTGGTAAGGACCTGCGGTTCAGTCATCGAATCCGGTAACCTTAGCCCCGGGACTTGGTGTGGCGAATGACATTAAGTTTCACTGGGGTAGGTGTGGTCGGACGACAACTCCGATGAGAGCGACTGAAACTCCCTGACCATCATCATCATCAGCAGCAGCAGCATCACCACCACCACCACCACCACCACCACCACCACCAACAACAACGCGAACACCCAGAAAGAAATTACGTCATTACAACATTCGTTCATATATAGCCTCCTCGAGGAATATAATGATCACTGAATCTACCAAAAGAAATGAGGATCCTCAGAAGAACGAATTTCGCGAACTATGCAGGCGTACAAGACGTCAATAAACGGATTCATCAATTCATATATGAAGCATTATTTTGCCCAGTTTCACCCATTCCTTTTGAATGTCATGCCCTTCGAGAAAATTCATCTAGCCTCTTATTTATTGTCCTGTGGTGATTGATCTTCATATATTGATCTGATTTGATTATAACCGCTGACCGATTCGTCGTGCAGGTTCCACGCGTATCTCACCACTATCCCCCCTCACCCGGGAAACTTTTCATTCTTGTTATAAGATGTATATACTTCCATCTTTCGGCCCGACTACGAGGGTTGATTTTCTTCACGAAAGCACCACATTTTACATCCTTCCATGTTAAAGTCTAGATGCACAACGTCTCATTTGTAGGCCCCCATAGATTTTCAAACAATCGCAACTAATGAAAATGTTCTTGCAGGTGTGAGTCCGAGTTCGAGTTCCGAATAAAGTGTCTTTTTCCGAGTCCCAGCGAATTAATTGGAAATGCAGCCTCACAGGTGGCATCAAATACTTCTAAATTTCTCCATCGATGAAATACGTTCACTTAGTACCACAAATCCGCCCAACCTAAACCTAGCTGAATGAACTAGCCGGTTATCGGACTGCTCTGAGGACTATAGCTAAGTATCTCTGACAAACTGTTCATTTGGAGGAGTTCAACTGTATCCAAAGGGTTTGAATATTATGCTTGCAATATACGAATGCAATATACATAGTCCTAAGAGCGTTTTTCACAGGCAGGGCATCTTTCTCTTATCAAGTGAGCTTGAAAGTATTCGGCTAAGGGTAAAGAATTGAATAGGATGTTGTACTGTAATATTAAAAAGATAACAGAATAACTTTCCCGCACCATTGAATACACTTTGATTCTGAAAATGAAAGTCTTTCCTAATTAAAACGAAACCTATTATGTTCTTTCCAAGTGTCCATTCTCTTAACGAACGTTGTTTAAAATATGCATTGTAAATAAGGAGTAAAGCAGAGCAACAATTAATCATATCTTGCCTATCACCCAAAGGCCAGTGAGAATGTGATCTATAACTGATTGCATTAGGATTCCAACTTTACAAAAATTGCAAGGTGCGTTCTCGTGGTAATTTCATTAGTGCCAAAACAGATTATGTCGGCTATCCATGTTTTTCACTTTATAGGTGGGTAGTATGGCCCCCATGGCATTAACTGAAGCATAATAAGGAGTTTCAATGTCGCGGGGTAATACCACAACGCATCAGAGCATCCTACAGGTGTTGTCCTGAGGACTGTGTGTTGGTCGGTTCGAGAACTGTGTGAGTAGTAATGATCGGGCGGTTTGGGCTACCGGTGCTGGATCGAAATCTGCCACCACCACCTAACTGATCCAATTCCAGGTCTATATGATCCTTCACTGACTTCGAGGTCTTAATACATGAACACTAGGTGTCGAAGAATATGATATTCATCCCTTCTCTTGATCATTTTAATATTATGTAAAAAGTAATGAGATACAAAACTGACCAGTGCCCCCTCCCTAATGGATAATCAGATTGCGGATTGGATTTTTGACAAATCAGTCGATCAATAAGTAAAATGTGGCTAAATTCACCATCAATCAGGCTTTCACATGGATTTCTCGAGTTATTATTATTATTATTACAGTGTGACTAGGAATAGGTAATAGGCGTACCAATGCTCCTGCAATATTTGTGTTGGGGTAAAAAGGTTGCATTTTGAGAACTGAAGATGTGTCATTACTTTACATTTGAATTTCGATTATGAACTTCCCATGAAACATTTGTTTTTTTCTCCCTAAACTTCTCTTTACATTTGTATATATCAACAGCTGCAAAACCATGAAGATTAAGCAAAAAGTAAAGATAAGTTGAAACTTCCTGTACTGATACTCATGTCATTCGCATCCCTGTCATCTGTGAGCATCGGTCATCAAGATCCGCGAGGTTTGCCCTCCCCCACCCACCCCCGGATAGCACTTCGCTTCAGTAGCAGACAGCTCCTTCGTCGAACAGTGCAATACCATAACTTTTCTCAAACATACTTATACAGTTTGCCCACCCCATTGTTGGTCTCCATAAGCGAAACCCTCGTAGATATGCGATCATCTTCCCTTAGAATATTCATCACATAAGAGTATTGGCGGTTAAGCCCCATTACACAACAATGAAGAAAAGAAAAAGGATATCATCGAATGGACCCTCATAGAGTCTAGGTGACCTTTATGTCTCGATCATAATTCTGGTTCGCCCTAACGATAACCTACTTTGTTTTCGGTGAAATGTTGGACATATTGATGCCGCGGAAAACGAATGAATTCTGCGGATGGGGATATATGCACAACTTTCAATCAGTACAGTACTTAACGAACAAAATATTGATTGGCTTCTAATGTATCAATTTTTTGATATTGTGACACAGCAAATCCGCAGTTATTCAGGTCAGCTGGATATTAAAGCGGATACCATGAGCTTAACCTACTCTGAAAACGTGTGACGAAGTTTCGCATGACACCGGAGAAGGTTACGAACCGTGTTCATCATCATGAGGTGATTAAATCCGAAAAAGTGAACGAATGCGTCATTAGTATAGAATAACTTTCTAAGTTACGAAAATATATTCTAATCACACTTGTTTTATCTACCTTGTTACTCAGTCCCAAGGAACGGATGATGTGAGCGAACCTTCGGATGGAAACGGAGCTCTGGATGGAAGCAGTGTGGTCGGTGGAAGCGACAGTAATTCAGGCGAAGTTTTGACCTGTGAACTGTGCCAGAAAGTGTTTTCCAAACACAGTTCCCTCTCAAGGCATAAATATGAACATACTGGTAAGCGACGTTAAAACAATTGCATTCTAATCTATGTTTTGGAACATGTTTATATTGGGCAAACAGTCTGCGGAGTATTTTCATGATCGAACAAACAATTCTAATTGTGCTCACAACGCCAATAGATATTTGAAGACATTTGTGTGAATTATTCATTCATAACAGTAAAGGTCGGTTCAAACAATACACTTTACCAAATTGGAGAATGAAATCATCATCATCATCATCATCATCATCATCATCATCATCATCATCATCATCATCAT